AAAAAAAAAAAAAAAGCCATGCCGCCCTAGGATTGGGCAGAATGTCACCTCCAACAATCTGCCGCCCCAAGCACCAGCTTGCTCAGCTGGTGCCTGGAGCCAGCCCTGCCCACTTTGCTAAGTGTCCTTCACGCAGGACTAAGAAATCTGCCCCTCCCTGGCAGCATGAGTGAGAGAGGTGGCTCTGGCATGGCAGGAGCAGCCAGCCCAGGAGCCACCCATGTGTGGGGCAGGCCCATTTGTCCTGGAGAAGTGTGAGAGCAAAACAAGCCCCTCCCAGTAATAAGGGACACCAACACCGAGACTCAACCCTGGCCCCGGAGAAGCACATTCCCAGGCACAGAGAAGAAACAGAGCAAAATCCGCTTTGGTGGAGAATGGCTCCCAAAGGGAGGCAAAAGGCTGACAGCAGCCACAGTGTGCCACATGCCCGCACCTCAAGTGCGTGTGCCCTTCTTGGGCACCCTATTGCTCGGTAGCACCTTAGATAATGGCTGTGTATGGAGCAAGACAAACGAATAGCATCTAACCATAGGGCCTGGGAGAGCCCAAGTTGGACAGACCCCAAGAGTTGGTCGGGATCTATTGAGTTCCCTTGTGAGGCTCTTTTGGAGCTGCAGCTGGGGCTGGAGCTGCTCCCAGAGGTTGTTTGCCCATGTTTGTTTATTCTAGGCGTGGGTTGCAACTGTGTCCAGTCCCTGAGCTGTCGTTCCCATCGGATGAGGTTCGGGGCAAAGGTGAAAGTTGTAAGGTAAGGCAATCCCTGTGCCCAGCAGGCAGCCTGAGTCAGCCATTCCTGGGATCTATGGGCCAGGTGTCTTGCAGGGCTCCGCACCCAGCAGCTTCCACTGTGACTGCTGGTGGGGCTGGGCAAACCCAGGGCTCACCCTGCTACCTCTTTCACTGCAGCAGGGGCCAGAAGCAGAGCACAGACCAGCGCTCACTCCCACTCACCTTGGCTGGAGCAGGCACTGCATTTTTGCCCCTGGCCCCCACACCATCCTCTGCTGGTGCAGAGGGTGCGTGAATGACTCCCACACACTGCGTGGCTGTGAATGACTTGCTGCAGAGCTCCAGCCTGAGGATCATGGCCGACAGCATGGCCCCTTGGGTACAGTGAAGCTGTCCACCAATGGTAAAGCTCATCTGTGCAGGATGCACTGGAACCAACTCCTCCAGGAGCTAAGGACTGTACCAGACCTCCCCAGCTTCTGCTCCGAGAGCCAGGCGTGCTCCTACAACCCAGCTGCACCGCTAAACACCCGGAGCAGTGTCCATTTACAACCCAAACCACTCCACTGCATGCACAACTATTTGTTAGGGAGAGGGTGAGTGACAGAGCAAACCACACATGGCATCATTCAATGCACCATCAGAAGGCACTCAGATACTGCTGTGCTGAGGGTGGGATCAGAACCCCTGCAGAATTACACCCAAGGGGCTGTGTACAGGAACACGAGAGGTGGGAAATCCAGAACTCAAAAGTTAGGAAATGCCAGAATTAAGGTTGCCTGTGGGACCTTCATTAGTCCTCTTTGTGCATGGGCATTAGGAGACAGTCTTGGATTACATCCTCACATACTGTTGTTTACACAGGACCCTGCCTCATTCAGGGCACTGAGTGGACAGTGCTCAGTGCTCAATACTTTTGTTTATCCTCATCATTCACTGCATGGCCCCAGATCTTATTTACTGCACACCACTCAAACCATGATCTGAATACAGAATCATTCATTTCCCCCTGGGCTTTTCTATATTGCTCATCACTACAGCATCAGAGTGCTTCACACACGTTAATGAATGTGTCTTCACAAAGCCTGTCAGGTAGAGGGGGCATAGTCCCTATTTTGCACATGGGAAAGTGAAACAGAGAGTTTAAGGCCAAAACTGCCAAAGGTGTCGAACGAATTTTGGGTGCCCAAATCTGAGAAGGCCCAATCTTAGCATTCGTTAACACCCAGTATGTTCAAAGCACAGCTCCCATGGTCTTCAGCTGCAGCTGTGAGCACTCAGCACTTCTGCAGCTTTGGCTTAAGGTGTCGTAAGCCACCGCCACCTGTGCATATTCCAGTTTACCCAACACCTCATGCAGGCTACAGACCCTGTTGCAGAAAGAGGGAGAGACCCCAGCCCCGAGGGCAGTATTCAACTGCCACAACTTTCTCTTCGTGCAACCCCCCCGCCCCCCCCCCCCCCCCCCCACTTTCCAACTTCTGCAGCAAAGGAGGCAGGGGCTCCACAGAAAGCAGCCGCCTTCACTACACAACCCTGATTCATCCCTAGAGCAGATCCACCCTGTGCACTGAAGGAGGCAGGAGACCAGTGCAAAAAGCAGTATGTGATCACATAATTAAAGGCTGTATCATAATGCACAGGTACAAGTCGACTGAATTAAGGTTACACGCAAACTTAATTCAGGCATTCCCTAATTTTTGAGTGCTTGACTTTGCAACCTTAATGTTCCTTTACAGATATTACTTCCTATTTTTAAAAAACTTAACAATTGAAAAAAACCACAAATTTCATTGTGTAAAACCGCACCAATGCCAACGTGGGTCATCAGTGGGGCTGGGATCCTTTGCTCCACAACACAGTCCTCTGCCATGTGAGCTAACATTCACTGATAGCAGTAGTAGGTTATCAACCTCAATGTGGACCTACCACTAGAGGGGGCTGAAGTCATACTTTGCTAGTGGGTTTCACACATATTTGCTGAACAGTAAAGTTGAAACTAAGGAATCCTGGATTCAATCCCAGGTTCTGGAGGGGAGTGTGCTCTAATGGTTACAAATCTCTCTGCCCCATTTCACCTTGTCCCTCCCCTGCTGCTATCTCCTGTCTCCCTGCCCCTACTTACTCTGCACCTAGCTTCCCTCCTCCAGAGTTCCTGGTTCTGCCCTTCTCCCCCCATTTCCCCTTCCCCGCTGCCATCCCCCAGCATCTGTCCCAGCTCCTGCCATGCTCACACCCTGATTCTATTCTCTTCCCTCCATGGCTCCTGCCCCCTCCCTCCGCTACTTTGTTCTGTCCTCCCTCCCATCTTCTGCCCCCCCCCCATTCTGTTCCTACCTGTCCCTCCTCCTGAGCTCCTGCCACACACACCCCCTCCCACACCCCCTTTTCCTCCTCCTGCCTGGACACAGCAGGGAGGCACTGAGGGCATAGGACAGACAGCTTCCCTGCTCCACAGCATCCCCTGGCTGGCCTTTGGGGGGAGCAACAGCAGGGAAAGTCCTGCTCACCCCCCTCAACCCCCCTTCCCTCCCCCTCCCGGCAGTCCTAGGCTGGAACATGCTCAGTTCAGACAGAATCTTTGAGATTTTAGAGGCTGAACCTCTCTCTACTGAGCATGTGCACACTAAGATTTTTCAAAGGCTTTTCACTTGACCAAATTTGGGTGTTTTTTCCCAGGACCAGCAAAAGGCACCTCCCCAGCCCTGGAGTGATCCCTTGGCCAAATGTCAAGCCTTAACCCCAAAGCATGGCAGTGACAGAGCTTCTCAACCCAACAGCAGTGGGAACATTTCTAACATGGGAAAACATGGTATTTCTCAGAAATGGCTGAGCCCTTTGAGCTGAACCCTTCCAAAAGATCCAGCCGGAGGCAGACAGTGAGTGTGGGAAATTCCAGCCTGAAGATTTGGCGTTTGGTAAAATCTTACCAACAAGCAACTGAAAACAAGATCTTATCCTGGCAGCCATAGCTACAGGCAGCGCTGCCTGGCCATGTAGCCTAGAACAGGGCAACGGAGAATCACACCTGCGCATCCCAGCCACAGCAAGTCCCTGCCCAGGGCTCCCAGGCCCAACCCCACCACAGCAGCTACAGGCAGAAGGAACCCCCGACCATTCCTAAGCACAGAGGGAACAAGAGGCACCAGCGGCCTGGAACCTGACTGTCACCCACACAGGGTGGGTCACATTACTCTATGCAAGAGATCGCACCTGCCCTGCCTTGCCCACTTGCCCCAGAACCAGGGCATTTCCAGCACTGACCAGCCCTCCCAACCACAGCCAAGCCAGGCTGGAGCTGTCAGGACTTAGCACAGCCTGGCCCTGGGCTAGAACCCCGGGGGAGCTGAGCCCCAGAGGGAGGCTGGCAGCTGGGCAGTGACCCCAGGAAAAAGGGGGAAAGGGATTAAAGGGGAAATGCCAGGCCCGGTTCCCCCCTCCCCAGTACACACCCGGGGCAGGGCACACGCGCGGGGGAGGGGGGAGCGCACACGCGGGTGGGGAGGCGCGCGCGCACACACGGGGGGGGGGGGCGGCCGCACACACTCTACAAGCTCTCGGGGAACTAATCACTGGCCAAATCCCAAAGTTGCCGTCTTGGAGCTATGGGCAGGCAAGGAAAGCTGTGGATAAGGGGGCATTTGGACCATTTAGAAAGGGACCTGCTTTCCCTGGTACCTTCTTGTTCACAGGCACACACACATACACACACACACAGCTCATGCCAGTGGCGCGCACACACATACACACACACACCACTCACCCCATGCCAGTGGCGCGCGCGCGCGCACACCGTGCCAGCGGCGATCGCGCGCGCGCTCCCAGTCTCTTTCTCGCACTTACAGCAGAATTTGCCCGCACCCCGGGGCTGGCTCGGTTATCCCGGGGAAGCTGTGGGGCAGGCCTGGAGCTCGGGGGCCAGTGGGGAGCGAAGCGCCGGGGGCAGCCAGCCTCTGCCATGCAGATGAGCCCGTTTCAGCCGGGGTGGGCGATCGGGGAGGCGCTGGTTTCCTGGCAGGCTCTGGGCAGCCTCTCCCGGGGATGGAGGCAGCAGCACAACAAGTGTCATGAGCCGCGTGCGGCGCTGCTGTCCGGCCTGGCCCCTCCGGGACACTGCAGAGCGCAGCCCGGCAGCCTCCGCTTTGCCAGCCCCGGTTTCCGGCTCTGAGCAACCGGCGAGAGCCCCTGGCGCAGGCAGCTCCACCCCGCCCGGCCCTGGCTGGGGCTAGAGCAGCTCCGTGATCCACCCTTGGTGCGGAAAGGGGGGGGGGGGGGCTCCTCGCCCAACAAGCCTCGGGAATCTCCGGGGACGAGACAGCTGAAGCCCGGGAGCCCATGGAGGGGACGGGGCGGATGCGCCCCTAATAAGGCTCCGATCCCCGGGCAGCCTCTGATCACGGCGCCCAGGTGCTCAGCACAGAGCCTGGAAAGAAAGTTGGTGGCCCCGCAAGCGGCGGAAGGGCAGCCGCTCCTGGCCCCTTCTCCCTCGCCCGGCTGCAGGGAAGCGCGTCCCTCCCTTGCTGGGCGCAGCATCCGCCTCGCTAACCTGCCCGGCATCGCTTCTGGGCTCCACTCTCCCTTCCCGGGCACCCCGCTGTCCCCGCAGGGGAACGAAACCCGCCGCCCCAGCAGCCAGCGCCGCCGCCTGGTCCCCGAGACCCGACCACCGCCTCGCTCCCTGCCCGTGGACCTGGCCAGGAGGACCCGCGCACTCCCGCATTCCGACACACACGGAGGCATAGCTGCGGGGCAACGGGGGGGGGCTCCAGGGTCCAGCCGCGCGGGGGCACCGAGCACCGGGCAGGCTCCCGGCTGCGGCTCTTACTTGGCAGCGGAGAGCGCCGTGTGCGCGCCACCTCCGGCTTCTCCATCCCCTGCCGGGACCGGCTCCGCTCCGCGCCTCCGGCTGGTTCCCCACAAAATAGGCGGAATCCCGGGGGACCAGTGGCTGCCGGTCGGGGCTGCGGCTCCCTCCCGGCGCGGCGAGCGGGTCTGGCGCAGCCGTGTCCGTCGCAGTGTCCGGCTCTCGGCGTGTGTGAGGCTGTGCCAGGGACGCACCGAGCCGGCCTAGCCCCCTCCCCCTCGCTGCTCCGCCTCTCGCTGCCGCCAGCACCGGGAGGTGGAGCCCGGCGGGGCGGGGGCTCAGTGGATCCGCCGAGCGCTGCGGCTGAGAGGCAGTTGGAGCCTCTGGCTCGCGTCGCGTTGGGTCGGAGCCGGAGCTGCCCGCCTGTTCCCCAGCAAGCGGCACCTGCACGGCCCGGCCGGGGGCGGATCGGTGTGCGCATGGCGCATCTCCCTGGGAACCAAGCCAGACCCCAGCCTTGCGGTAGCGCTTAGGGCAGAGCCCCGGGGCGACCCCCGGTCCTCTGGGGACCGAGCAATGTGCCCCCGAAAGCCTGACTGGAGAGCGTAGCCAGCGCCCCGTTGTCCCCCACTCCGCAGAGCCCCGGGCAGCCCGATGGCCGGCGCATCCGCGGCTGCCCCCCCCCCCATCCCGCCTCTCCGGGAACTGAGGAGCTGCCCGGCCCGCCCAGCCCCCCTTCTCCGGCCTTAGCCTGGGAGCGGGAGGAATTGGCCCCGTGACTCCAAGGCAGAGCTGCGCTCCTGGAGCTGCCCGAAGTGCTGCCTGCGGCTCCCGGCGAGCCAGTGCGCGCCCCGGGAGCAGAGGAGACCTATGAGCACCGCATGCGACCGGGCCCTCACCCGCAACAGACCCCGCGCGGCTGCCCTTCGCCTCTCCCCCCAAGCCCCTTCCCACCCTGGGCATCCCGGCCAGCCGGGGCCCGGAGCGCAGCTCAGTGAAGGGGCCAGAGTCAGGTGCTGCCCATGGAACAGCGGGCCAAAATTTGGCTTCACTAGCCCGCTGGGGAGCTAGGAGAGGGGTTGGTCGAGGCCCTCCTACCGGCCCTTGGTGACTGTGTCCCGCCGCTCTCGGCCCACACAGCAGCCGCCCCTTCAAGAAATGCAGCTCAGGAGGAGCCCAGGGATGCTCAGCACCTCCCAACAAACAGCTCTGGCCTCCGCGGGCCTGCTGTGGGCCAAGGCGCAGAGCTGGTGTATCCCCGGTTCCTGAGTCAGTGACCCTGTTGGAGCCCTGCCCCAGGTCCGGGGGTGACCAGGAGGCAAAAGAGCAAGTCACTGACCTGGTGTCAGCACCCTGGTGAGTCACGCACGCTCTTCTTACAGGCGTCAAACCCCCGTTGGGCAGAGCTGAGCAGCTGCAGGTTCCCCACTGACACTGCAAACTCCCGCCCCCCTCCCATTACAGGGCTGGGTCAGACACCTCGTTTGCACTTATTGGGACCTCTGTGTATGGCAGCCTGATGGGGGGAGGGGAGTCAATTCCTTGTCAGGGTAAGCCCCACAGACCGTGTGCTCTAGGGCAGTCCATTCCCTGTAATAATCATCCCTGTCCCAGCCGCTCCAGTGACACCTGGCCCCTCTGTTCCTTTAATGTGCGAGTGCAGCCTAGAGTCGGTCTCTGCAGCATTCAGCCAGGCCGAGCTGTGCGGGGACTCTCCTGGCCAAGGGTGGGTGGCTGCCCAGACAGGCTAGGTGCTCTGTGGTGCAGAGTGAAATCCGTAGGCTGGGGACTCGGAGATCTAGTGCGGCGGGGGAGGAGGCAGTTCTTCACATCCCTGCCCGGGAGCACATTGACTCCTAGATTTATAGCCCAGGGATGAAGCTCCTGCTCCGCTCCCCTGCAGCTGAGGGCGGGGGCGGCACAGAGGAGCCCTACTTCCTGCTGAGCTACATGAACCTGTTGCGTGCACAGCACAGCCTCCCGCCCCCCTCCTCTCGCACAGGCTGCCAGCTCGCCTTTGATGACCCACTGCACCATCTTCTAGAGGCTGCTTTGTCCTTCCATGGAGCCAGCTCCGGCAGCCCTGGCCATGGCTCAGGCTCCTTGCCCCGAGGAGGAATCCATCTGCCTCCCCCTGGGAGAGACTCAGCGGGCGGCACCCAAGCGTGGTTCCCTTCCTGGTGGGCAGGGAAGGGACACAGAGAGTTGTCAGGAACTGGTTCCTCTTGAGGTGGGGGGTGGGGGTCTTGCCCTCCCAGGGAACTCAGAGGCTTTCCTGGAGCTTTTTAATCGCAAACTTATCTGCTCCTACCCAGCTGGGCCAGGTTTTTCTTTGGTGTAAATTCACCTGCAATCCAATCAGCAGAAGACATCAAAATCGGAGTGTACCAGATCCCCTGAAGGTCAATGCCCCTCTGTAAAGGGAGCTGGTGAAATCAGAGCTGGCTGAAAGCCAGGGATTATTTATTATTATTCATAACTGTATTATTAAAGAGAAGGAATAACCAGCCCAGAGACAAAATGCAAGCAGCTGCCTTCATCATAGGGCTTCAGAGAAGGGGCCAAGATCCAGAAGCAGAGAGAGGCCGATAGTTTGAAGCACTGTCTAAGGTGAACCCTGAGGATGGGTCCCATTAAGAGACACTATGGAGCCATGGATGTAAACTCAGGGCAGAAGCCCCAACATCTGAGAGATGTTGGAGGCCCAGATTTTCAATATTATGAGCAAAAAAACGTGCGGCTAAATTGCATGTCTGGTTACCATAATTGTACATGAAGTGAGGGAGACTGCGTATGCATCCCTGCTTAGACTGCCCATTTGTACAGGCTCGGAGGGTATCTGCAAGTGCATATTCACACATGGCCCCAACTGTAAAAGCATTGAAGAAATAATGTGATGGAACCAGGATTCACCTTTTTCCAGTCAGTCCCCAAAGTCTGGAGCCCAGCATCGATAGGAACCAGCTAGTAGATCCAAGAGTATTCCAGGCAATGACACCTCAGGGAATGGGTGACGGGATGGATCACTTGATCCTGTTCTGTTCATTCCCTCTGAAGCACCTGCTACTGCTTACTGTTGGCTAGATGGACCTTTGGTCTGACCCAGTATGGCCGTTCTTATGTAATGCTGCTTCCCAGGCCAGGTGTGACATACATGCACATGTGCCATCCTGTACAGAGACCTGGTGGGTGTGCCACCCCAGGCACATGGGCCACCTTGTACAGAGACCTGGGTGGGTATATCGCCATGGGCACCTCTTCCAACATATAGGACACGCTCTCCAGGTGTCTGTATTGGAGTGGGTTCCACCAGTCACTGCGCTGCTTTGTGCTGCGTGCCAACCCATACAGTACATTGCACTGCCCGCTGCCTGGATGTGCAGCGCCGAGCGCAGCTGCCACCCATGGCAGGGTCTAAACCAGGGTTACAGCAGTGCAGCCCAGTGCAGTGTGCTGGCTGGGAATCTGACCAGTCAGCTGAGGCTCATCAGGCTCGATGAGCTGAAGCCTGGGTGACAGTCACACCAACAACCTGATGCCCTCTAAGAAGGGGAGGCGTCAGGATGATTCCATAGCATAGGGCATCGGCACTGGCAGTGTGAGAGTGCAGGGGAGGCAGGGACATTTTTCTCTCTGCTTCCCTGAGCTGCCAATTTTCATTTGAAAATGGAGCCAAGCAAGATTCTAGGCATGTCCCACAGGGAGCCCCTGCCCTATTGCCCACACCACCTTTTGCCTTCACTCCCCTTTCCTCCTCCCATCCTGGTGCTAGTGTTGGTCCCAGCCCAGGCAAGTTGAACTATCATGAGGGAGTCCCCCAAATCTGGGGCATAGCATTTGGTTTCCATCTCCATCCCCAAAGACCCCTCACAATAACCCCCATGGAAAACCAGTCTCCGAGGACCCTGGCCCAGTTCACTCTCTGGGAGGGTGCTGAGGTTGCAGTATGGCAGGCAGGATACCCCAGGCTGGTCTGCTCTGCCATCACACAGAGACAGCTGCTCCTCAGTGCCGCTGGGGCCTTGTCAGAAGAAAAAAGCCTGCAAGGGTAGAGCATCCAGATAAATCTCTGGGAAAGCGAGAAGAAAGGGAAACACGGCAAGCAAATGAACCTTACAAGAGAATAAATACCCCCTCCACAACACTCACACACAGCAAACCTGTCTGCTGTCTGCTGTGAGGAGTTCAAAGGCTCTTCTGTTCTCTCTCTCATCAGCTCTGGGCTCCTTGAGAGAGGCAGCAGCCTGGATTTGGGCAGCAAATGCTAATAACCCAGATGTTCTGACAATTCATTCGTTCCTACAATTAAAAGCAAAAGATCCCCAAAACTAAACACAAGGAAATGAGCAACATGAAAGAACTACTCCCCTCATGCCTACCTCCACTTCTGATAATGTAGGGGTGCAGAGATATGGGGAGGCTTGTAGACTCCAGCCAGGATCCAGACCATAACTGGGATCCCAAGGGAGACTCATCAGTGTCTGGGGTGTAGCAAAGAAGATGTTGCACTGATTATAGGGTGTATCTAGGAGGGTGTTGTGCTGATTGTGGGCTGTAGCTAAGGTGTTGTGCTGATTGTGGGCTGTAGCTGGGAAGGTGTTGCACCACCGATTGTGGGCTTGAGCAGGGAAGGTGTGCTGATTGTGGGCTATAGCTAGGAAGGCATTGCGCAGATTGTGGGCTGTAGCTGGGAAGGTGGGCTGATTGTGGGGTATATGCCTCTGTGCTGGGTTTTTGGTGGAGGCTGAAGCATGCACTCTTGGAATGGTCTCTCTCTCTCTCTCCTGCCTGCAGGATGCCTGCTGCCGAATTATTGAGAGATTGTTTTTATTACTGTTTTAACTCTTTTTTTAACCTTGTTTTTCTCTCGGCTGCACTTTCACTCACTCATTAATTTTGGTATTTTTCTCACGGTATATAACCCCTGTCACGGCTGCCATGGCAACAGGAGGGAATGTGCTCAGCGCTAAAATATCCTCTCAAAAATAACAAAAATAGGAAAACAGAGGCAGCTTGTGTCGGCCTCTGCAAATGCAGATCTGGCCCAGCTTCTGCAGTGATGGGAGGCCCAGAGATGCTGAAGGCTAGGGGAAGCCCCAGCCCTTCTGCTAGCTCAGCCCCCCCAAACCTATCTCCTCTCTTTGTGCCTAGGTTCCATCTCTGCCCAGGCTGTGATCGCACCATCTGATGGACCTCTCAAGCCAAGGTCTGTGGTTGAATGC